ACGGATAAAGGGGAAGAGGCTCTTTTTCTCTGATTTTTATTCATATGCCTCTTACCAGCTAGCCGCAATTAACTAGTTTCAGCACACTTTTTTGAAATTGTTTCTTTTTACTTTCCCATAATCCTTATCTTTATTGAGATATATTTAATTGTAAATCATTAAAATCATTGGTTTGAGATTCCCATTAATAAAGTAGAAAACAAAATTCCATGGATGATTTTTTTGTAAATTGGAAGTTTACTGCATTCAGAAACATAGAAATCTTTTTTTTCTAAAACTAATAGAAATTTCTTCGTAAACAAAATTTTTTATAAAAGTGTTATGCAGATTTCATTTGTACTCTTATTGTTAGTTACAATATGAGTTTATTCTTATCTTTATGTTATCCACAATTTCAGAAGTATGAAAATGCCAGGACACAAAAACAAGTACATGAAATACTAATAGTCTTTAAGTATGGAACTTATATTTAAAATTATATTAAATAGATGTTGTTCATTGACAAAATGCAAACAACCTTAATGCTTTGTACTGTGGAAACTCCTTAAAATTTACACAAAATATTTTAGGAGGTTAAGAAAATATGACCTTTCACTATTTATGAAGCCTCACACTTTTTTTGCCTCACTCTATTTGTGAATAGTAGAAATCTTTATTCAAAGAGTTTTATCTTTTTTCTTAGTGCTTGTAAACTTTAGTCAATTGTAATTGTCATTTTAAATTTTTGTTGATTTTAAGCATGAGTATGAATAGGTAATCTTTTATTTATTTTTAAACTTTTATTTTTTTATTCTTTGTGTCATTATACAGTGCCCGCTGCTAATAAAATCACGGAATAATAAAACCAGTCGCTTTATAAAATCAAATCGGCAAGAACCGAATCGTTACAATATTAATACATGTTAAAAACATCCTTTAATAAAATCAATGCCGCCGCTTTTTGAAATCAAAATTTTGACTGCGTAATAAATCAAAAGTGCAATATTTCAGCTTTTTTTGTTCTTATTTATAAAATTTTATTCTTTCGAAGTTAAAAGATTTTTTTTAGAAGAACCAACAGTTACTCACAAACCTGTGAAACAGGTGTGGTTAGCACTTTCCTGCGATATACATAGTGTAAGAGTTAAGGAAAAATGTAGGTAATAAGCGGCGAGTTCATAGAAATCAATGTCAATTCCTTGACTTGAATGAAGTTTGGAGAAACCTATCTCACTCAACAGGGGGTCGAATTCTTATCTTACTTTTTATTGAATGAGCCATAGAAGGGAGAGAAGTTTTTTTTGTCATCTATCTTAACAGAGAACATGAATAAATTTCCAAAAACTGTCTGTGCGCTTGTTCCATATTATTTATGCCGTTTGAGTAAATTATAGTTAGAGCACTTATCATTTTTAAGTTCGTTTGGTTTTAAATTTTATCAGCATGCCAAAAAGGAAGGATTTGAGTCTTAAAGATAAATTCAAAGTGTTGCAAAACTATGATAGGCTTCCTAAATGTAGTCAACGTTAAGCTTCAATTAAATTAGGGATTTCCTAAACTGCTCTTGTCAACATTCTGAAACAAAGGATAAATATTTCCGAAGAAATGAAAAAGAATGGAAATCTGTCAAGAAAGCATAAGCATGAAGGAAAATCGTTGGAAATTGAAATAGCTCCGTTAGAATGGTTCAAAAATGCATGTGAACGAAGAATTCCAATATTCCATGGAATTTTATTTCACAAAGCGCAGGACTTTCCTAACTTATTTGGTGATTCTGATTTTAAAGCTACAGATGGGTGGCTAACCCGATGGAAAGACCGTAACAACCTTGTCTATTGTAAATTGCATGGTGAAAAGCAAGATGCTGATTTTAGCTCTGGTGCAGAATGGGTAAACGACGTGTGGCCAACACTCATCAAAGACTATAAACCAGAGCAAATTTTCAACACAGATAAAAACAGCATTATTTTTCCGAGCACTTCCTGAACATACACTGCTGTTTAAAAATGAACCGACTGGTGGATGTAAAAAAATAAAGGAAAGACTAACCGTGCGGCTAACATGCAACATGACAGGAACTGTGAGGAAAAAAAAACTTTAGTGATAGGAAAGAGTTTGAAACCTCGGTGTTTTAAAGAAGTAAAACACCTGCCCACCAGTTATGACAACAGCTAATTAAATTAGTTAAAATAAAGCTTTAATGTTGTTATTATTTCAGCTTTTAAAGTGTGTGCATTTAGAATATACAGTGGGTGATCGGTTAACAAACAAATCGGTTAACGAACACTTTCACGAAAGATTTTTGTGTTCGGATAACGAACACTTTCAAGAAAGATTTTTTGTGTTCGGACAACGAATACATATTCGGATAATGAACAAAACGAATTCTAACGAACACTTCTCGGCCTGAAAAAAAAATTTTATTAAACATTTGTTATAATTTTGCATACAAAATAAAATCACTGAAAGGAGAAATGTTTAAAACATGCTTAGTATTGATAATTACTAAATGAAACTTGAATTAACAAGTAATTTAAAGGTCATTCAATAATTATTATTATGACTAAAATCAATACACACTTGAATACTTCAATTTCAATATGAATATCAATATTTTCTGACAGCTGATAAGTTATGGGCGAGTGGATTTGCTGACATGGCGAATAAATTAAGCGAATTCTTAGTTCTTTCAAACAGTGCAGACTATAAAATATAAAGGTGCCGATGACGCGCTAGCACCGTAAGAATATGTGAAATTATGAAAATACGGGAAATATGAGAAATTTCTAAATAGTCAATCGTCTTTTAGTCGCCACTGGCAGCCCTGAATGTGGTAATAACACACGTGCGGTGCTAGTGTGAGTCGAAACTTTGTCAATTGTGTACGCTAGTTGGTTCCTGTTCCTCTAAAATTTTCGTATGTGCTTTTCTGAACCCCTTATAAAAAGACAGAAAATCTGACAATATGTGTCCCAAAAAGCTTGGAGTGTCAAGGACTGTGCTCACTATAAATGCCAAGCGAGAAATGATAGCCAAAGTTGAGAGTGGACAGAAAATGGCTGGATGTTGCGAGACAGTATGGCTTGAACAGGTCTACAGTATGCACAATATTAGCTAAGAAAGATATCATCAAGAAGACTCAAGTAGCTGAAGGAGTAACGAAAATCACATCTGCGAAGCAAAGCAGTGCCATCCATGATAAAATGGAGAGGTTGCTTTTAGTTTGGATAAATGAACGGGAAATGAAATGAGATGTAACTAGTATGCCTATCATTCAAGAGAAGGCTAGAGAAATTTTTGAGAAATTGAAAGAACAAACTTCAGGTTCGTCATCCGAGGAGTTAGAATTCAAGGCTACCACTGGCTGGTTTACAAAGTTTAAAAGAAGGTCTAGAATTAAACATGTATTAATGTATGGTGAGTCTGCTAGTGTAGATAAAGAAGCAGCTGAGAAGTACTGTCTAAAATTTTAAGAATTCATTGAAACAGAAGGGTATCGTCCACAACAAATATTTAATTGTGAGGAAACTTGTTTGTTTTGGAAGCGCATACCGAACCGTACCTACATCACGAAAGATGAGAAAAGTGTTCCTGGGCATAAACCTATGAAAGACCGATTGACGTTACTTTTGGGAGCTAACGCTAGTGGTGATATGAAGCTTAAGCCACTTATCGTTTACCACTCTGAAAATCCCAGAGCATTCAAAAAGAAATTCCATAATAAGAGCAAACTGCCAGTAATTTGGAGATCGAATCAAAGGGCATGGGTCATGTAGTATCTTTTCAAAGATTGACTATTTAAAGTTTGTGCCCTGAGCATCAAAGACTACCTTGATACCAATGACTTGCCCTTGAAAGCACTGCTGCTATTGGACAATGCACCAGGATACCCAAAAGATCTTGAAGATAATTTGTTGACAGACTTTCCCTGCCTACAATTCAGTTTTTACCTCCGAATACGACTTCGCTGATTCAGCTGATGGATCAAGAGGTTATCGCGGCTTTGAAGAAATTGTACACTCGCACGCTGTTTCCTCGGTATTTTGAAGCAAGCCAATTCTCCTGAACAATGACTTCAAAAAAGTTTTGGAAAGAAACATTTGACATTCTTGAAGCTATTCGTATCATTCAAAAGGCGTGGTCATAAGTCACACAGCGACAGTTGATTTCTGCTTGGCGGAAGCCGTGTCCATCCTTCGTTCAAGGAGACGGAGGTGATCAGGAAATTATGGGTGAAATTTTGACAACTGCTAGAGATCTGGAATTGGAACGAGGATGACATAGAAGAGCTCATAATGGGACATGAAGATGAACTGACGACAGAAGAACTCCAAGAAATTTTGAATGAAGAACACCAAGAAACACAGCGAAATGTGTCTCCTTCTGAACAAGAGGAAGACGAAAGAGGACCAATGCCGACATCTGCCATTAAAGATCTTTTGAAAAAGTGGGAGGATGCCAGAGCAATGGTCTTAGAATGGCACCCAAACCAAGCTGATGTCAGTAGGATTGGGGATCTTTACAACGACAATGCTATTAATTACATCTGGAAAAATCCTGAAAAAGAGAGAAAAACAATCGACATTGGACATGTTCTTCAACGTCCCATAAGCAAAAAATGAAAAGGACTGGTTAATATGCAAGACTATATGTATGTATAATTTTTTTAAAAACTTACAAAGAAATTATACATTTTTTAATATTTAATTTTTAGGGTCTCCAGAACGAATTAATCAATTTCACATAGAAGTCTATAGTGAATCGATGATCAGTTAACGGACGATTCGGATAGCGAACATAGTCTTGGAACGGATTATGTTCGTTAACCGATCACCCACTGTATTGTAAAAATTTGATTTTTTTTTCAAATGTTGAATCGCCTCTTAATAAATTCAGCCGCTTCATAAAATCAAAAGAGCGTAAAACGAAAGTGATTTTAATAAACGGCAGGCACTGAATTAGATTCTAAAAAAGTCGCAATAAAAATAAGTTAATTTTCTTCTTCTGTTTCCTGTACAAAGGCCATCGACCAAATCGATTTCTCCTCAGCCTGAGCAACTTTCTCCTACAACTACTTCTCAAGTAATGTTGTTTTACATTGTTACGTATGAATAATTAGCTTCTTTTGATTATATTAAAAAATCTCTTTCCCTTTCAGGAGTCTTCAACAAGTAAAAGTGAACAAGAACTCAAAGAAGAGGAAGACTTACAACTGGCTCTTGCTTTATCACAGAGTGAAGCAGAAAGTAAAGAAGTAAGTATTCATTTTTCACTTCCATTTCTTAACCCTCACAGAATTTCTGAGAAACTTCTGTTCTTTCACATTCTTCATTGTTTATCTCTTAAAAGTTTAAATAATCCACAAAATTAAAGAAGACTTTGTTGATAAATTTTATAGTTATCATAATAATATGTTAGAACATACTGATAATATGTTAATTGTATTAAAATGGTTTGAGAAATATTTAACTGTAAATTAAACTTAAGAATTCAGAATGTGTGACACAATTAAAGGAAATAAATGATTAAAAAAAATATATTCTTTAAAAAACTTATATCATTATAAATAATAGGAAATGGTGCTTGAATTAATTTTTTTATATTTTCTGGTGTGCAAAGGAAATAATTATGTAAAGTTGTGTAAAACAAAGGAAAGTGAAAAAAAACTTGCGTAAAAGCACTTAAAAATGTAATAACATGTTAAGTTTTCAAATTAAAATGGCCCTTACAGCTTGTGGAATTTCAACTCTTTAGTTATGTTACTATAGTCTGCAGAGAAGCTTGTATGCTACTTTTACTACAAATTCCTCAATAAATAGTTCTCAGTTTCCAAACATATTTTAATTTTATTTTTTATTCTATCATACTGGTATATTTTGCCATCCCCCGGTATAATTTTAAATTTCAAAGTCGAATGTTTTTTGTTTTGTTTTTTGCAGAAAAATAACAGGAAGTTATGTAACACACTAAAGGCGCTTAAAATTGCAATCACTTTCAAACAAATTGGAATTTAGCAAAAATATCCTGTTTTAAGTTTATAAATAACTGTGGTCCTTTTCAGCATATAAATTTTAAACTCTGTGATTGCATTTCTTGCCTGTGTGGTGTTTTTTGCTACAAGTTTTACTAATGATAGCAATTCTTAATTTTTTTTTCTATCTGTGTACACACCTTAGCAATTTAAAATTTCTAAGTCTTAAAGCAAAATGTAAAATTGAATACCAAAAACAGCATTTCTTCTGACTTTTTTTATATAGAATAAAATTAAAAAAAATTCTCCTTGAAAATTTTGATATTTATATTCTTTCAAAAATTTAATTTAATTTTTATTTTAATAAAATGAAACTATAATTTTATAAATACTTTTTTATGGTAATGCAACAAAATGTTACTATGAAAATACTCACTTTTTTCACTTTTCACCGTGTTTTGTTTTATCAACGGATAGAAAACATTTTGGTTGTTGTATAAATTTATTCATCCTTTTTTTAATACTTGATTCCTTCAAGAAATTTTTTGGGCTGTATGAACAATCAAGGAATCTGTCAATCAGACTGCATTTAATTCACTTTAACTTTTTGTCATACTTTTGTGGGGGAAATGTCTTCAAAATAGTATTATAAATTGCTTAATTTTTGCAGAAAAAATGTTTTAAGCTAAGTAAAAAAATGCCTTTTTATTTTAATTAGAATTAAAATTATTATTTCGTTTCAATAACCTTAATTTTTTCGGTAGGTTACATTCTTAATTAAAATTATTAGATTGTAATTGCTACTTTTAATTGGCTATATATTATAATGTTATCAAATACTTAAGTTTCAATTTCGTAAATTAATTATTTTCTATCAAAAGAATATCCCTCACATATTTGTAAAATAAAAGTGTTGTTCCTAGTCGTGTGTCTGGTTGTGAGGGAGCCGCTGCCATAGCCTGAGTTGTTTCAAAAAGTGGAAAGGTTTTGCCTATGTATTCCTATGTATGCTTAGTCAATTGTTTTGTTGATCTAATAACTGTCCATGTCCACTAAGCAGCACTACATTGGTATGGCAATGGCAGCATACATTTAACTCATTATGTCATCACCTGCTCTAAATGCAGGTAGTCTTCCTGATGTAAGCTACTGGCATTATGTAGCTGAACAACCGTTGATTGATGATTTTAAAATAATTAAATCAAGTGTATTAAAATTTTATATCCTAGGAGAGCTATAAAATCAGGCAAGCCTTATTTATTAAAGTTAATTACTTACTATTTACTTTTTTTAAATAAAAATACCTGCTTTTTTTATTATACTATGCTATTAAAAGTGGATAAAACAGTTCTTTTTCTTTTTTACTAATCGGTACTTTATTTATTTATTTAATTTTTAAAAAAACTACAATTCTTTTTGATTGAAACTGTATCAGTAGATAATTGAGTTTTTTCCTTTATTTTAGAATAAAAAATCATCTGCCAAAACAGTTGTGTACTCTTCTTTTACACCAGTAGAGGTAAAACACTTCTTTTCATTTAAGTATAGTAGTTGGTTGTCATATAAAGTAAAACCTCCGTTAAGCTGACATTTGTGGGACCGAAAAAATTTTCCATTTACAGGAAGGGTACCCTAATAACGAAGTTTAACACGGTAAACCATTTTTAGAATATTTTCCAAGATGTAGAAATAATTAAATTATCTACAATAACTCTCTACAAGGATATTTATTTAAACTTTAAGAAAGATAAAAGTATATATATATAAGGAAGTTTGATATAAATATATAATTCTAGATGTAGCTTCAGATAAATTAATATAATTTTCCCATTAGCATAGATACTCAAGTTAGACATATGATACCGAATAGGAGCTTTCAGTTCTCAGTCGGTTTCAATTATTAGGTTTACATCCTCTTACACCTACCTACCTATTGTTTGATAAGGAAGTTGGCCAATACCTTCTTGGAAGTAAACCTCCCACGATTTACAGGAAAAAAAAAGCACTGCATACATGTAAGTCATGAGGATCTATGGAGTTAATTGTTCACAATTGATCAGCTATCAAGTGTCTGAATAAATGTTTCATTCATATTAACACCTACCTTAAAAATTATACTTCTGTTCTCAGTTTATAGATGGTAACGAGAAGAGTTTTGTGGTTGCTATGGTGACTAATAAGAAGGTAAATTGTTTTTTTGAGTGAGTGTGAGATTTGTTTTTTGGAACTGCGATGCTGTAATTTTATTGTTTAGTTAATAAACCTTCCTTTTATATTAAACGTGATAGTAGTTTCCTTAATTATTTGATTCGAAGTCCTTGGAGTTTTATTTGAGGTCAGTTTATTTTGTATTTTTTGACAAGAGAGAGCATTCTCACCAAACGAGATTTCTTCCGAAATTCAATGTTTTGTTTATGCAGGGTTTTTCCATTGCAATTTCTCTTATTTAAATTTTTAATAGACTTAATTATAGCCAAAATTTTAACCTTTCTAAAGAGATATCAGTTTTAGAAATTTTATCTTAAGATTTTATACTATAGCACATTTCTAATAGGTTTAACGAATTACATGTCATTTATTTGAATTCAAATTTATTTTAATGACTTAGTATTTACTAAAAAGATGTAATTTTTTTTAAAAAGAAAAGTTTTTATATGGATTTGAATGATTGTTTTGAATTCTTAGAATTTTGTGCATTTGCAATGTACAGTAGGGAACCGATTATCCGGAACGATCGGGACTATCGCTATTCCGGATAACTGATTTTTCCGGTTTTCTGAATCGCTACAAAAAGCCGTTTTTTTTATTGTTAAATCCAACTAAAAAAAATTTTTTTTTGGAAATAATCTTAAAAAGAAGAAAAAACGATGGAGTAATACACTAATGATTATTTCCAAAATGATGGTAAGGTAAACATCTTTCAAAAAAGAAAGAAAAATCCTAAAATCTTATGAGGAAAAAAAAAAATTTATTTTTAAATGGTGGGAAAATGTATCGAATTTCGTTCCGGTTTTCTGATTTCCGGATAACGGGTACTGTACCTTAGTTTGTAGCGAGCGAAGCAAGCTTGGTTTACAAAGCAAACCATATAAGATTGCGTAGCAATTTTCGGGGGTTGGCGAGCAGGGGGCGCAGCCCACTAGTATATACTAGTTTTGTTTAAACTTAGTCTTCAAGCTTACATTTGATAACATACGCTAATTGTCCTTCTTAAAAAAAGTAAGAAATTATGTTTTATTTCATGAATTTGTAAATGAAGTTGTCTTAAAACATTTTCATATTGCCTGCTTTTAAAATTATTGTAGATTTTATCTTCTATTTATTTTGACTTCCTACCACTGAGTCAAAACATATAGTATTTATTATGGATAGGTAAAAAAAAATTTAGTATTTTTTTTTATTAGCATTTTATTAATTTTAAAGCTCGCATAAAGTAAATTACATAAAGTAATAAAAAGTTTTTAAATGTTGAAAGTTAGTCTTTTTTCTAAAAGTTTAACTTTACTTCATTAAAAAATGTTATTCAAATTTAATGTTGAATTATAATTAAAAGAAGTATTCTAAGTAAAATATGTTTGAATATTTCATATGACTGTTAGTTTAACTTTAGAAGCTATAAAAAAACATATACTAATAACATTCCATAAAATATAATCTTAATGAACTAAACATGCAATCTAGAATCTACTCATCTCTAAATCGAGTTTTAAGCAAACACATATTAGCGTAAAATACCTCAGCATTAGCTTAGAAAATGAAGAGTCTTGGCTTTAGGGAAATGTGTCATTTCTTCTGCTTTTGTTAAGTTTGTACAAATTATTTACTTTATAAGTTAAAATATATATACATATACATACATATATAGGCCGGGAAGGAGGGTACAAAATTTATTTATTAATTATTAGACGGAGCAGTCATGAAAAGTATGTAAAAGTTGCGCTCCTTGGTTATATGTTAGGGAAAATCTTGCAAAGTAAAATCCGTAAAATGTCTTAATTTAGGGAAAGAGGGAAATCTTGGTAATTGCTATTGGTTCATGAAATAGATTAAGCATTTCCCACAGAGAGCAAGGGGAAAATGTCCTTCTTTTAATTAAATGCATACTTGAGCCAAAAACAGATTTAAGAACAGGGTGTGGCTTTTAAGAGTGTGTGAAAGTATTTCGATTAGAATAATTAATTAGGATAACATAAAAAGATTAATTGAAGCTTTTTATGTTACATCCCCCCTCGCCAAAAAATGTTTAATTACAAATCAAAAATTTTAAAAATTTTCTATTTGCAAAATCTTCCCTCTGATAGAAGCACAATTAAAATAATCAAATTTGTAATATTAACAATATATAATAGTATATGAATTAACAGTTTTTTCAGCTCTAAGTCTTTTGTTTAAAGGTCACAACACGGCTTTTACACTATAAGAAGTATTCATCATAAAAAGTATTCCTCGTAATACCACAATTTAAGTTAACTCTTCAATCATGATGACAAAAATTTATAAGCATTTGTTAGAAGTGTATAATTTAAAATGTAAAATACAAAAAACAGTTTTACAGGAAAAATTTCAATCTGAAATTAGATTTGAGTATTGTTTACCTTGTTTGAAAACAAAATAAAATAAAAAATGACACAATGGTTATTATTCTGAAGACCAAGACTTCAGTATTGTCTTTATTTCACTTTATTTATTATTTACCTTTCATATTTATCACTTGAATAGCAAAATATCCGGAAGCCTTTTTTTTTCTTTATGTCCAAAATTTGCCTTATGTAACATTTTTTCTTTTCCTCTCTTATTTTTCTTTCTACTTTCTTTATATTTATTTATTTATACTTTTATTTTCTTTCTTGGTATTTTTATTGCAATTATTATCCCGGATTTCAGGAAATATGTAAAGACAAATTGCTTTTATAATCAGAAAAGGTGATCAGTCTTCTCAGATTTTGCTTTACAACCTGTTTAACACAATCACTAATTGAAATCCAAAACAAAGCTTTCAAATTTAATATGGTATTAAGGTAAATCAGTTTTTAAAATTTGACTGACGTAGCTATTTTCCTTATTTTTAATCTGAAGTGCAATTTTGATTAAGTTACAAATTACCTTTTGTTTGTTTTTTTTTAATTTTTTTATTTATATCTTTCTTTCTTTTTGGACATAATTTTTTTTTTCCTTTTTTTTCCAAAATTTTTAGTTCGGATATTTTTTAAAGTAATTTTTGTGTAGAGATCTTAATTGGTAATTTAATTTGTCACAAATGTGTTAGGAAATTCTAATATTTTCATTTCTATTTTAAATCTGTTTTTTAAGTGTATTCAGTTACTAATACTTTTCAATTTGTGTTTGATCATTTTCCTATCTGTATGCTAGATAGGAAAAGAAATACATTTTAGTACACTTACATATAGAGAAAAAAAAAACATTTTAAAGGGAAAATTTATTTTCATCAAATTATAATTTAAAAAAACTTGCAGGATGTAACATATACATACAGCTCTTTTCTAACTAGCACTTTTTTTTACATGCGTTCAAAATTATTATTATTCCTTATTAAATAAAAAAAAGGTATAAAATTTGCAATGAAAAATTTTAATAGATACCTGAAATTCATTTTGAGTTTTTATTCATCAAGTTGATACAGGTATTTAACAGAAATATGTCTTGTTATCTTAATTATGGTTTCCACTTTTGATTATATATTTGGATGTTTCTGGTTTTTTTATTATTATTATTAAAAGATTTTGTATGTAACTATAATGTAGGTATTGCATATTCTAAAAGCATTTTAAGCTATTACATTAGAGCACTGCAACAATAACTCTCTTTTTAAAAAAAAATACCATGATACATTGTGATATTGTTTACATAAAATTAGTTTTTACTGTACTTTTTAGAACCCTTAAGTGTACACACTGAAGCTTGGTGGACTAAGATACAACATGTATTAAATGAAGCTTAGATAAATCAAACTTTTCAGAAACTTTTAACTGATTCTGCATTTTTCTTACTCTTGTATTCCTCCTCCCTTTTTTTTTCATTAACTAAAAATTTTCACAATATCGGGGATAAAATTTTACTACTCAGGGATGAGATTTTTCCGCTTTTTAACGGATTTCCGCCTTTTTCACTTTAATCTCTAGAATTTCAGCGTTTTTTTTTTTTTCTATCAAAAACACCAATTCTCTAAAAGTTTCACTTTTTTTAAATAAATATTGAGATTTTTCTAAAAATTCAGTCCTTGAAATAAAATAATTATATTTATTTCTGTTTTTCAAATCTAAACAGAAAATTTAAACTACATAGCTTCCAACCCTACCGCATTTTTACTTATTTTAACTATTTTCTCCGCTTTTATGTGCAGAAAATATCTCATAAGATTTTTCGCATTTTTACCCGCCCACCAGATTGCTCGTATTTTCGTAATTCAGTAATTCTTCTATGTTGAAAAAAAGTGGCATGTGTAAAAAAAGAAAAGAAAAGCTTGATATATGGTGAAAATATTTATTTGCCCACTCAATAAATCTTGTAAATTTGTATTAATTATGGCTAAACAAAAACAATATAAGCAAGCTTCACATGTATCCAGACCCCGAAATCTGCTGACATCTTGATTCTTATTCACGTGATTTTAATATCAAACATCGATTTTCGTATTTTCCTAATTTAAAAGTTACGCATTGCGATTCTTATTCACGTGAATTAAATACCGTACTTCGATATTCTTATTACGAGATTTAAAAATTCAATGTAGCGATTCGTATTTACACGTTTTTAAAATCCATGATCGCGATTCATATTCATACGATTTTAGAATCCAAGATCGCTATAAATCACGTAATAGTATTTAAAGAAAGGGAACGTAAATGTATATTCTCAGTAGTTTAATGTGCTAAACTAGGCAGATTTTCAAGTAATAATTGTCTCCTTTGTGTGAACTGAAGAAAATATAATTTCTAACTTTATTTTTTGAATTGGTAATTTTACTTTTTTCTAAATGTTAAGTATTGATGTAATCATTCATATATTAATAAATTAGTACGCAATTCTATATAAACACATAATTATTTTTTGTCTTAAATTGTCCGGAATTCATTATTAAACGATTACACACACGTAAGATTTACTCGCATGGAAGTTCAGCTTTTTTGCCTTTTAGTCAATCTCATCCCTGACTACTTTTCTATCAAATTTCTATCTTTTTATATGAAATTTACAGCCTTTTTTGTCACTGTTTCTAAAATCTCCATTTTCTTCGCAATGAATGATATTTTTTTTTTTATAAAAATAGTATTTTTCTTCTTATTTAGTATGACATTACCTTTTTATTAACCAATAAGGTTGTCTTATAATGAAGAAAAGGGGGGGATGTGGATAAGTGCTTGCTTCTTTACATTGTCCTTTATCTGTCACCTTTACTTATTTTCCAACCCGAAGAATTTAGAATATATGTGGTTCTTATTGCATGGAAATTAGAAGTTTTTTATTCATTAAATAATAAACTTTGATTTGTATTTTTTGTTTTGTGTTTATTAAATATTTATTAAAATTATTTGTAAAAATGTTACATACAAGAGAAAATACACAAAAAATGTATTGCAAAGGAAATTAATCTGTTATCAGATGTCATCTGCTTTCACATTATTTCTTTTTTGTTAACTTTTTAAGTCTAAATGTAAAAATAATAAATATATATACTTTTATTCTTCCAATGCATTCATTTAAAACCTGAAAAACAGTTTCAGGTAAGAAACAGTTGTTTTGCAGAGGTATTATATTGATTGTCTTATTTTGCATCAAGAACCTTAAGTAGTAAGTGATTATAGGACATTTCATTGTAGGAAAGTGTAGCACCAGAGAAAAAAAGTTCACCTGTTGACAGTGAATTGGATCGTTACTTAAATAGATCCTACTGGGAACAGCGACAACAGCAGCAGAAGGAAGAAATTGTTCTGTCCCCTTCTGAGACTAGGAGCAGCCCTACTCCCAGTGCCCCTGTACCCAATTCAGGACCTCCTACCATCAGTTATGGAAAAAGTAGGATCTCTGAGGTAACCCTACTATATTATTTCTAGAAAACAATTATTTTTAAAGTAAATAATCTTTTAGTTTAGTAATGTTTGAGCAATTTCCGAAAGGTTCAGGGACAGATCTTATATGCAGGAAGCTTTTTAAATTAGATCCCTATTACTAAGTTCAGAAAAGGAAAAAGTGAAACATGATTGCAACAAAATGAACTTGTAAAAGTTTCAACAGTTCTTACAGCATAAAGGTAATAAGGACTCATTCAAACTGATTTTGTGGTTGAATTCAATATTGGTTTTATCCCACCTCCTCCCCCACTTGTCATTAATTTGAAAATCAATTAACGCTACTTTTGAATGGTTCTACTAAATTCTTTTTTATTATTATTTAGAAATATCAAAATGGTGAAGTGGATGAACTGACTGATTTTCTGAGGAATCTCAGAACAACTGTGGAGATATTTGTAAATCGAATGAAGAGCAATTCCAGCAGAGGGCGCCCCATTGCAAATGACACGCATGTCCAATCACTCTTCATGAATATTACCAATATGCATTCTCAGCTTCTGAAATATGTCCAAGAACAAGATGATATGAGAGGTAAGTCAGTTTAGTTTCACTACAATACACCCTAAAATGGGTACTTAGGTTAACATTATTAAGATAGATAGCTGCACTTCAGAGAAAGAATTGGAGCAGTAACCTTTCATTACATTCTGTTTGGTAACAAAAAATTTAATGCTACAAAAATCATTATGAAATGTTAAAAGTATTTGGTATTATGCTATGTTAACTACAAAATGAAATGATTATTTTGTACATCAGCATATAGCTTTGAAAATTCATTTATAATTATATTAAAAATAGCTTATTACCATTTGATTTAGGAAGCACAAATTGATTTTTCTATTATAAAATCATATTTAAGTATTTCTTAATTCCATTAATGCAGTTGGAGAATCACTATTGCTGCTGATTACTGACATTGAAGAGGCAGCAAAGCCTTCTAATTTACTAAATATGATGCAAGTCAAAACAAGTTTGTGTCTTTATAAAATTTCTATCAGTCCACAGTGGCACACCGTAGCCCATTTCTGTCTACTAACTGGACAAGACTGTCTGGCAGAACGCCTGCACCAAATTTGAATCAAATCCTTGCTGTCCTCTCTGTAACTTTAATGACCCTACGAGAAGACCTGACCTCTATCGATGTGTGGTTCTTAAAGGCGACTCTGAAAAAGGTTGATTCTTTATTGGCAGGGCAGAGAACTTTTAGGGCAAAGACTTCAGTCAATTCTGATTTATCATTTTTTTTACTAGTTTTTGTTAGCTATTTGTTTTTTGCTTTGCCTGTAGAAAACAATTATTCCTATTATACAGGGTACGTTCTGAAAGTAATGCGCATGCTTTTATTCTGACTCGACTATTGATTGCAGCGCACTCAGATTGGTCGAAAAGTGTGGGGGGGATTTGTCCTTCCAAACGCGCCTGGTCTCAGGTCGCTCCAAGCAGTAGGAGCGGTAGGGCGTGTCTTCGCTCTTCTTTTTTTTGATCGAGTCACGGCGTGATGGAGTGTTCGCTGGAACAGAGGTACGCGATAAAGATTTGTATGCGGCTTGGAAGGAATGCGACAGAAACTCATCTTCTGATTGTCATCTTCTGATTCATCATCTGATTGTCTTCTTTGACACCTGAGGAATCGTACATTTTGAGTTTGTTCCGCAAGGACAATTTGTCTCTGCAGCTTTTTACCTGGAGACTGAAACGCCGGGTCGCGTGCGTCTGACCTGACATCAAAGACACCTTCAAGCTCTACCATGACAATGCCCGAGCCACACGGTCTTCATCGTCACCAACTACCTGACCCAAAGTAAGACCCCCTTGGTGCCCCAGCCTCCCTATGGCCCTGACTTGGCGCCGTGTGACTTTTTTTGTTCCCCCGACTGAACATGGAGCTGAAGGTTAAGCACAGGGAGTCGGTGGAGAACAACCAAGCTCATGTTACAAGGTTCCTGAGAGGCATTTGAGGGTGCCTTCCAGGCTTGGCAGAATCGTCTCCACAAGTGTATTGATGCACAAGGGAACTATTTCGAAGAATTTTAACCATTTGTACCCATAGGATCAATAAATCTATTTTTCCCAGAAAATGTGCATTACTTTCAGAACGTACCCTGCATATAAATAATATTGTTATGAAAGTAGTTTAAAGGTTATTCAAAGATTACAAGATGTCATCGGATGATTGAGGGTTCTATTACATATCACCCAATGGAATTGGTAAAATTAAATATAGACATTTATTCAAACTTTCAAAATGTTTTACTTGAGAACTCTGCAGTAGTTAAATAAAATGGATCCAAAATAAGATATTCATTGTTCATTTTTCTCCTAAATTAAAGTTCCTTATTTATTTTTGTTTATAGTTATAGCTTTGAAAATATAAATGTATTGTATTTTAATTTGACTTAGTTAAATCATTGCGAAATTCTATTCTGATTTTTTCCATACCTAATAACTTATCTAACTAATTTAGTTTTAAAATTAAAATGATCTATTGAAATAAAACTGGACTTGTTAAGGTTTTCTTTTCAAACGCTTTCTTTACAAATTATAAATTGTGTCAGCTGCTTCACTGTTAATCAAAAGTAAAATCAGTGCTGTTGGCATGGGGCCTAAGGCTAATGAATAAAGTTGGGTCCTCTTTATCATTAAAAAACTTTAATATATTTTCAAAATTAAAGATGCATTTAATTAAATGTTATAGTAATCAAAGTTGCTTCAGTTAAAGATTTAACAATTTGTTGCGTGCACAGCATACATAGTAATAATTTGTACTTATGTGCTTATCATTACATTTTTAAGTTTATAAAATATAGCAACTGTTGTTAAAAAAAATTTAAAGATAATTTATAAATAAAGAATAAAGCTAAAACTTAAAATAAGCCAATGTATTAAATGAAAAATCGGAAGAAACTGAAATGAAAATTAGTTGAAGATATAAAATTAAAATTGCTTAAAAAAATGTGAAGGGGGAAATCTTCATCCATCGTGTAGTGAGCACTTCGTGATAGAAGCCTATTCTCAAGACTTGCCAGACAAAATTTGCATAATTTAAATTGTTCGGATATGAGATTTTTATAATTGCATGAAAAGGGTCCAATCTTTCACCTACTCTTCTTCTGTCTAAACTATTTGAATCATATTTTTTGGATTTCTTATATTTTGATGGTCAAGAATCCAAAAAAGATATGTTTTATACAGAGAAAGTATGTTCTTGTGTTGTAACTTAAAAAAAAATTACAACACAAGTAGCATTTTTAAGTTTAGGCTCTCAAACCATTAAGTCTTAGTATGTAAAAATCCAATCATTAGATCAAAAGCTATTCAAGATGTTCACTTTTTTTGCACTCTGTATACATCAAATATTTTCCCAAACTAACTCAATATTTTATTTAAAATATCCAAAAAATTTACATTAATTGCAACCTTTAAATTTTAAAGCAATAAAGTTATAAATATTATACTTGATTTAAGTTCCTTAATTTAAATATGGTAAGAGCACAAAACACAACATAGATTCAGCAATTCTAAGGTTCTATAATTTTTTGTAAACTTTCTTTATATATATTGCTATATCTCTGGAAAAGGAATTTATAGCATTCCATTATGATATGCAATTTTTACACTCAATCTATGAAGTAGTTATCTATGGTTAATCTATGTTGGTTCAATATATACACAAAGCAAAGATAATTCACTATTTTAAGTTAAAAATTAATAACTTTAAATGTGAAATATAATTTATAACTTATTCAATTACCAGGGGTGAAAGAGCATTTTCTCCCCCCCCCCTCCCCATGAGTGTTTACGATAATAAGTCATTCCACCATTAACCTTTTCTATTATTCTCTTGTTCCATAATAAAAAATAGTCATTTTTTATTCATTGGATCTATAAAAAAATAGTTTCATCCAAAATAATGAAATTTTGTACCTATAATGTTCAAAACAATTGTTTTAAATTACCTTACAGGTTTATTTATACTAAAACTGACATCCTTACATTTTATTTCCTATGCTGTATAATCCATTAATGAAATAGTATTGTTGCAATTACAATACTTTACAAGTTGAAATAAAGGGAAGATTTCCTGCAGCAAACTATAAATAAAAAAAACATAACAAACTATAAATTAAAAAACATAAATAAAAAAAACATAACAGACCCACTCAAAGGGTATAACTCGTCGCCACCCTTTAGGCAAATCTCTAATTTTTTTTTTTTAAATTAATGTTAAAGATCTATTTGGCACCTTGGCAATTGTTGTTGGTGCGACAAATAAAGATAAGAAACTATTGTTTAAAAATGCAGTATTAATAGTTGCCTTATTAAAAAAAATTATCCATTAACAAAATGTAATTTACATTGAATTTTTTACCTGACTACGAAGACAGCCCTTTCATCATTGTCAATGTAATTGTCAATAGTCCCTTCCTAAAACAAATAAACTTCGTTATATTTCATAAAACTAACTACATATTTTCAGCAGATTTCTTTTTATTTCTTTCTCTCTTCGACTTGAACTGCCACTAGCAAATTTCTTATCCATATTGAGATCATCAATGATTTTAAGCCTAACTTTTCTTTAAATTTGAAATTTTTTCATAACCACAATTCAGATGTAAATTTAAAAAAACTATGATGATATAGTTACATTAATTACCCTGTTCAAAAACTGATGACTGCATTGATTACTTCACTTGGAGCAATCTGTCCAACTGATTAAGTATTTCAATGTTCCTCTCTCTTTTCTCCTTTGTGTTAAACAGAATTTTCCAAAAATTTATTAAAATGTAAATATTGTTTCATAAGTTGCAATGTTGTAGCTTACTATGAGAGACTTCAGGATAAGCTGAGCCAGGCACGTGATGCTAGGGCTGCACTGGATGCTCTACGGGAGGAACATCGCGAAAGAATGAGGCGAGAAGCAGAAGAGGCAGAGCGGCTGAGGCAGATACAAATGGCTCAGAAGTTGGAAATAATGCGCAAAAAGAAACAGGTAAATTGTTTCCCTCTGCTGAGCATCAACCTGATGTTCTAAATATTTTGAATAGCGAAATTGTTTTCATGAGCATAAATAAAAGGGAAGATATGAACTGCATTTCCAATTTTGTGTTAGCATTTTTTACAGAATTAGTAAATGGCGCAGTTTTATTTTTATACAAACACAAATTCATTAAAACAGTATCATCTTTTAATCATTTTCATACCTTTTTTATGCAGTTTCACAAATATTAAAAAAAAAATTTAAAAATCATAAGAATCACATACTTAATATAAAATATTACATTTTTTAATGCTAAAAATTTCATTTTATTAGTAATAATTAGAAACCATAAAAATTCCAATATTTCATAGCTTCTAATTTTTCTGTCAAGAAATCCTTGTTTTTATATATTTTATTGTCATTTTAGACAACAAAATATTAAGTCTTTTTTTTACTTTCACAATCTTAGGTGATAAAATAAGAATAAAGAAAATATCAGAAATAAATTATTTTGTATACCATCCATTAAAGTATATTCATAATTTCCATTCACATTATCTTTATAATAACATAATATGGTCAAGATTTTCCTTCTCCTAATTAGCATGCAACCTTTTTCAACTGTATTACCCCTTGCATCTATATCATACTTTTTCACCTAATTTTTCAAGCATTTTGTATAATCTGATTCTAGGAGAATTGGTTGTAAAGGCTGCTATGTATAAATATGTAGTTTTTAAATATTCATATTTATAAGACGTTTCTTTGCAATCATCATTCATAAAAATCATATTTAAATCTTTATTTCATCATTAAGTATCATTTTATAAAAATCTTCTAATTACATAACATATTTCTTTAGAGGCATTATTTTTCTGGCCAAACTTATCACCCAGAAAAAAAATTTATTTGTCTGTGATATGAACATGAAACCTAATTTTTTTTTTCAAATAATCTAATTCTATATCTAATTTATCTTTAACAATTTTCATGTAATTTTTGTAATTTCTGTTTTAATATATTTTTTAATATTTTTATCATAATTAAAATCACATTCACATCTCTACTAATTTGAATGCAGCATTTTTTTTTTATTAATTTTTTGTGTTTTATCTTACAAATCTCGTATGCATGATTATTTCAAATATTTATTGTTGATTCTCCATAATATATTTTACATCCATGCCAGTAAAGTTTATATACTGTTTTTTCCTAAACACCATCTACTATGTCAAATTTTTCATCTAATTTTAATTTTTTTCTCACCACTATTCAAAGCATGTTGTATTATTTAGCTAAATAATATTACCAGGTTATTAAATTTTTACTTTTTGAATAATATCTTCTTCAATGGAAAATTGCTTCATGTTTGAGATCTCTGTAACATTATAAACCTGCTAGTGTAACATTACAAAATGCATCTATGTTGCATGTTTTTAAAAATAGTCTTCATAATTTTATTCCTGCTTTTCTTAAAATGTCTACATCTGATCTGCAATATTTAACAAATTCCTTTTGAAAGTGAAATCCAGCAATCCTCGAGTGGTATCCTTGGAAAAATTAAAGGGTTTTGCAGGAGTTAAGACTGATATCAACAAAAAAAAATTTTGTTTTAAACATTTTCGAAATTTGTAATTGTATTGAAATTGAATCAATTATCCATTATTTAGTTATTTCAATTGCTTTATTGAAATTATATATAAGGTAATATGCCAAGGAGCGAAATGGCTTTTTTTTTTATATAAAAATTATATTATTTTTCTAACAACAATTATAAAAATTTTGCAATAGTATTTCACATTGCACTTTTCTAATCAAAACAGAATAACTGAATTCTTTATTTAAGAAATATGTTTCCCTAGTAATCACTTTCAACATTTATTACAATTCTTTTTTCTATATAGCAATATGAAAGCAAATTTTTAGTTGGACTAGATTCATCTCCAAAAGACTGTGAATTCAACTGTCAAACATAAAACCTAATTTTAGATTATTAAATATTAAAAAGTCTATAATCCAAGATGAAGAAGTCTTTTTAATGTTAAATAAATAAATAATCACAGGAAATTTAATATTACCTGATTGGAAACTTCATTTGCTTAAAAAATATTCCAATTTGTATATTTCTGAAGCAAGTGGCAATCAGTGTTTTTAAATCAGTCTCTTAATGGTTATAAAGTACAAAAAAAAAAATTTCTTCTGTTTACTTTAAATGTGAATTTAGGATTCGGCTGGAAGGAGCTTGATTATTTAGGGTTCTCTATCGCCGAAAAAAAATTGGGAACCACTGGTATCATTTTTTTTTACCATTTGTTAAATTTTTCAAAAGTCATAGAGGCATGTAATATTTACGAGGCATTTTGCTTATATTGTTTTGGGTTTTTATATGTCTTCCAAAAGTGAGGAAAAGTTATAACTTTTTGCTAACTATTAAATTAAGCATATTGAGAAAATTTGTCAATGGAATCAATGTAAAGTTGATTGAATCTACAAATCTTTTATTATAATCTGTTTTTTTTTCAATATAAATAAATTTTTTTCCTTGATAAATATTAAACACTTTGAAAATCAAAACCTTTACGATACTGAGCTATGGCTGTAAGCCTCTTTTTGTTATAGTGAGAATCAAAACCTTTACAATACTGAGCTATGGCTGTAAGCCTCTTTTTGTTATAGTTTAGACCATAGATTCTCAACCTTTTTAACGTTGCCGTCCCCTTAAGGAGCAGAAAACATTTCAACGCCCCCCTTTGTTAAAATCCAGTTACTTAGAGTATGGAAACGTAGGGAGGTGTGCTGAATTATAAGAGGCAATATTTTTAAGCAATTTTTTACACATTAAATTTGTTTGGTTTTTTAAAAAAAGAAATAATGTGTACATCAAGTCGATAATTTTCCCTCGGCAGGTAATCGCAGTCTATTTGTTATGATCAAAATAAATACGTTTAATGAAAAAAAAAAATACAACAAAGAAACCAATGCTTTAAAAGAATAATTTATTCTTAATTAGATTATTAAGAAAAACACCAAAAAAATTTTTTTTACACTAAAACTTAGTATTAATGAAATATTCAAGTAACTATGATAGTGTGATGATTGTACTTAATGGTTCAGAACCAATTTCTTTACGATCGGTTCAATACTTTCAGTGAGAGACGACGCAAATCACCTCGTTGCACAATTTCGAGTTGATTTCTCCTTTTTGTGACAAGATCTGTAACAGCACTGAATCCACGTTCGAAGGAAGGGATGGCAATTTAAAAATTTTTTACGATAGTCTATAGTCCAAGATAGAAACGACTGATGTTACCTTTAAGCAAAAATTCTGCGAGACGATCACCATTTCTAAGTTTCATTAGTTAAAAGTTCGACCAATTCCTCGTAAATCTGAACCTCTGCTATTTCAATGTTCACTAAAGGGTTCAAAACCCATAAACTCATTGAGGGACTTCCAGAGAACAAAACATCTCTAGAAGGATCAGAAAAAGTTCATATGAAAAGAGTCAAGGTGTTGACAAAATTCTACTTCCACAAAATGAGTTTTTTTAGAAAGGCAGAAATAAGTGATTTTGTAGGGATCAAATTGAGCTCGTCGCCTTGAAGTTGTAAATTAACGCCATTAAATTTTGCTGATAAATCAGCCAAAGTCTTTCTTAATTTCTAGCAATCTGCCTCTCAGAGCTACATCTCTGTTTTCGAGGAACTCAAGTACAGAGTCGAAAATATTCCAATACCTATTAAGACAGAAGCTTTTGGAAAGCCAGCGAATCTCGGTGTATAGTAGCAAGCGATTGAATTCTTCATTGGTTTTTTTTTACACAGCTGTCGGAATAATCAATCCTAGAGAGCATTACTGCGAATTTTGTTTACAGCAGATATGGCATATTGCAATGATTGATGCAAATGGTGGCTGAGATTTTTTCCTACTAAATGCTGTCTGTGAGTCACGCAGCTAACAGCTAGAATATCTGGTACCACCCTTTCCAAAAGGACGATGTCGACCCACCATTGTAGGAGCCTATCAGTGGCAATAGACATACTATTCGCAAGAGGAATGTTTTTCTCTTTAAAATAATCTTTGACAGTATTAAAAATAGATTTACCTTTGATATCTATAATCAAGCTTCTTGCAAAAAGCATCTCTTGAATAATTTTTCCCACCTTTACAAACCGGACCTATACCTACAGCAAAGTCTACATTACCTGGCAAGGTTGATTCCTCAACTTGAAGGGAAAATTCATTGGATATCAAAAGTTTGCATAAAGAAATTTCAACGTCTTCAGCCATCTCAACATTTCGTCACCGCACTGTATCGTTGCTTATGGGATATTTTTTTATTACATTGGATGCGGCCAGATGGTGTAAAACTGCTTCAAAAACTTCCTTGTCAACAGGCAGTATCAACTCTGCCCCAATGGTATGAGCTCTCCTAGACCAATTGAGCTATCAAACCATTGTCACATTTTTGTGATGAGGTTGCTAGTAACCCCGAGACCGAAGGTGCCTTCAGAAACGTGAAAAAAAGATGTTCGGGAAAAATGGCAAATCTTTATTTTGTTTGTCAAGATGAGTTTTTTGCAAATGCTCCTGCTAACGGTAAGATTTCATTACCTCATTAGACGAATTCATTACCTCATTAACGAATGTTTACTTAATAAGACTTCATTACCAAGTAAGCACATGGGTAGTTGAGAGTTCAACAGTGATTGAACAAATCCCTACTTCAAGTGCGTGGCACTCGATGAAAGAAAATCAACTATTTCTTAAAATTAATAAATAATTTATGATAAAGAATTAATTTGCGCACTTACCTGGCCAAATAAACTATGAGATCTAATCGAAACTGGGGAAAAAACTGTAAGGAAGCTAACGAAAACCATTATAGGAATCAGAGGTCAAATCAAAAATTCAAATTGTAAGCTCATGCACTTCAGTTTCCACCATATGCCTTCAGTGAGTCAGAGGCTAAACCTACTGACTCATGCGCTGAGCTGTGTTAGTTCGGATCAGA